TCAAAACACACATTGCTCCATTTTTGCTGAATTGCTGGACGTGATGAAATCTATCTTTGATGACTAAAGAAATTATAAGTTTATTTTTCAAGGGTACCCCTTGGAAGAATGATTTTCCTTGCATGAGCTACTGAAACAGCAAGTGAAGGAGATGGGGCTGAATTTATGTCTGTGATTAGCATGGCCCATGAACACTGATTTAAAAAATAAATCTAGGTGTTTTCTTATGATTCACTTCAAAAAGTTGAGAGCTGGGGACAGGGAGGGAAGGGAGGGGAAACTCCAGATAATTAATGATCCTTGTTAAATGGTTTCTGATTAATGAGCCTGAGCTATGGAGTGATTTATTTTCCCTGCTCCCTGCTCTTTTTAATCAATAAAGAGATTCTGGTTGGAGGATTTGCTGAGAGCCCACATTATGTAAGTCTCAAGTGTAATCAGTTTCCCAAGATTTGCCCTTTTTCTCCATGTTCAGCTCTACCTGCCAACCACTTACTAGCCTCCTGCCGTGGGCCAGCCCCTGTGAGGCACTACCAGGAGTGCAGAGATGGGCAAGTGGGAGTGGAAAGGTGGTGCCAGCATACACGTTATCTACATCTGCTATATCACAGGCAGCTGAGGTTTGGGTGAGGAAATTAAGAGGGACTTGATGGGGGATGGGCATTAGAATTGAGCTGGACTAGACGGCCTCAAGCAGCAGAGGTACCTGGGCCGAGGGGATAGGCTGAGTTCAGAGAGAGGGAAGTGTGGGGCGTGTCTGGTTTTCCTGAGGGTTATTGTATTATTACTACTGAGCATGTGGTATGCGTAGATGTATCATCTCATTTGGTCCTTATAGACTGGCAGACTTTCTGTGAAGAGCTGGAAGTCAGTAGTTGAGGTTTTGTGGGCCACAGGTCTCTCGGTCACAACTGCTTAGCTTTGCTTTGTAGCACGAAAGCAACCAGAGACCACAAATGGATGAGTCTGTGTCCTGATACCTGTCCCGAGATTGTTGACCACCTATTTGTTTACATACATAGGTGGTCAGCTAGAATTGGCCTGGGTTGCAGTTTGCCAGCCCCTGCCTTTTAATATGCTTGATGTAATCCCTGTTTTATGGAGGATAAAACCTAAGAACAGAAAGATTAGTAGAAACTAACATTGCCTGGGGCCAAGGGCCCGCTTGACTAGGTCAGATACCAAAGGCTCCATTCTTCTACACACGCTGCCTCCCCTTCAAAGGTTGGAGGACATTCTGGGGTAGAACAGACGGATGATGAGTCTGCCTTGACTCAAGAGTGAAGAGTGTCCCTTTAATTCAGTGGGAAGTGGGGAGCCACTGATGATTTTTTGAACAGACAATTAGATTAGAGCTGTGCCCTATGAAAGTTCATTTGGCATTGGTGTGTAGGTAAATTAAAGTTGAGAGAAGAGCTCTTGTTTCAGAATGATAAGTTTACTTTGGCAGAGCTGTTTCCAACCACTCTATCCTGTAGAGGTTCTTGTGAGTGTACCTGATACTTGTGTGGCCTCACCATGGCTCTGCAATTGCAGTGTGTGTGTATGTGTACTTGCTAAAATAAGTTTAACCTCGGCTTCTTGCTGGGTTATGCAAACTCACAAAGAAGCCGAGTTGTAGAGACAGTACGTCTACTTTAAAGAACCTTAATCATCTAAGAAGGGATGAGCTGAGGCACCGGCATCTCATCCCATTCAGCTGTGCCCTTGTTGATGTTCACGTCTCACTCAGCTGATGTTTTAGATGCACGTGACTTTAAACTTCATGGTGCCTCCCACGTAGCTGAGGAAATCCCTCTGGGGTTTGAGAGAGCAGTGTGGTGCATCCCCTAGTTAAGGAAGGAAGACTTGCTTTATATACCAGCCTGGCCAGTTTCTGACTTGTTTTTCTTTTACACTCTGCCATACTTTGTGATTCCAGGTAGGGGATGTTCCAGACTCTTGAAATTTGGCTGTGAGAAGGGGAAGAAATCTTTGAGTCATTTGTATCCTGGAGATTCAGGGTGGAGGCTGTGACTGATTTTGTTATGGCCCATTTCATGAAGCTGTTAATAAAAATTTTTATTATTAACTCTTATTTACTGAACACTTAGAATGTGCCGGATTCTGTGACCTTTGTATATATGAGCCCATTTCATCTTCATAATACCAGTGATGTAGGTATTATTATCTTGCAAATGACAACACTTAGGCCAGAGGGCTCAGAGGGAATTGGTAGCATAGAAACTAAGATTAAAGCAACTCTGTCAATTCCAGACCATGCCTCTTTATTGCCCTTCTCCCCAGTTGCCTTCACTTCCTGAGCCCCCATGTGGGTCAGGCCAGGCACTTCCATACAGTGCCACTCTGAGTCTTCACATCAACCTTCTGAAGCAGGCCTTATTGTACTCATTTTACAGGTGAGTAAACTGAAACCCAGAAAAGTAGAGTCACTTATCCAAAGGCATTCAGATAGCAAGGAAATTATCTAGGTTTGGGTTTTGATTACTTTTAAAATCTGGGACCGGGCACAGTGGCTCACACCTGTAATCCTAGCACTTTGGGAGGCTGAGATGAGCAGATCACGAGGCCAGGAGTTAGAGACCAGCCTGGCCAACATGGTGAAACCCCATCTCTACTAAAAATACAAAAATTAGCCAGGCGTGGTGGCATGCACCTGTAATCCCAGTTACTTGGGAGGCTGAGGCAGGAGAATTGCTTGGACCTGGGAGGCAGGGGTTGCCGTGAGCTGAGATCATGCCACTGCACTCCAGCCTGGGCGACAGAATGAGACTCTGTCTTGGGAAGAAATAAATTCTTTCACTGAGAACATAATAGAGACATGAACCTAGAGTCAGTAGGAGGATGCCACGGAAGGGATAAATAACTCGATTAACATTCATATTTGTATTCAGGGAGGCATTGTAGAATGTTGAAAGGATTGTAAAATAGGTTAGCCTGGGCTCAAATTCTGGCTGTGCCACTTGTGACCTTGGACAGGTTATTTACCTTTCTGCTCTTCAGTTTTCTATTCTGAAAAGTGAACACAATAATAACCTCTGCCACATAGAATGAGGATTGAGTGAGTTAACGTGTGTAAAATGTTTATGTCAGTGCCTGGCGTGTAGTAGGCACTGTATGTTAGGTGGATTTATTAAGCTCCTTCTCTGCATAAGGCACTCTTTCAAATGTGCTCTTTTAGATACTTGGCATACGTCATTAAACAAAACAGACCCAAATCCCTACTGTTGTGGAGCCTACAGAACCAGGACTGGAACCCATGTCTGCCTCTTTTCCTTTTAATGTTTATTTTCCTTCCTCTCTCCCTCTTAATAATTTTCTTTAATGATCTTTTAAATTTCAAATTTCAAGTTGGCCATTGTCATTACAAAGGTGATGGTCTACTTCCTGAGCTTTCTTTGTGCTTATAAAATTGAAAATACTCTTGCTTTACTGGGTTGTTGGTCTCTGACAACTGGAGAGTCACAGGGAAGGAGACTAGCATGGATTTAAGGATTGGATCCTTGGACTGTGTTGTGAAATAGAAGTACACCGTGGGTGTGCCTCTGCAGTGGAAGACAGAGCTTCTGGGTGGGTGGGTGGTGGACAGGTGCTACAGCTGTCATCTCTTCATGAACCAGATGATGCAGCTCCACCTCATCCCTTCCTGTTATGAGGCCCTCATGGTCCCCAGGTGGAGTAGCCAGAGATGCTGCCTCCTTAGAAGGTCTCTGCTTAGCAAACCTGACCCCGGCTCCTGTTCCCATTCCAGGAGTGTTGGGGGAGGGGGCCATGACCATTGTGTGAGATTACACTGGGAAAGGCATGTGGAAGAACAGGATGGAGGGTGAAGATAAGACCATATGCTGCTCTGGGAGTCACATGGATCCTCAGAGCAGGCCTACTGGTTGAGGTAGAATGATCACCTTCATTTTGGTGGAGACATCATGGGATTAGTACTTGAGCCTGTTGCTACTAACCAGTTGAGGCAGGACATTCTCTTTTTTCCAGTCATTTGTTCCTATCCCTCTGAAAAAAAAGAGGTGCTGATACCCTAAGGCCTATGTGTTCATGTATACACTCTTCGGCAAACTCACAAATCCATGCATGGAACTTGGCACTCAAAATCAGTGAGAAGGTTTTTTGTTTTGTTTGTTTTTGGCTTTGATGGTTGGGGAGAAAATTTTCAGGCAAGAGTTTTCTTGTGCTTGTTGGCCTGTTTGGAAAGAAAATATTCTTCTGTCCTGACCATTCTGTGACCAGGAAGAGCAGGTCAGATATGTTCCCCAAGGGGGTCTGCTCTCCTGATTCCATGGGTCAGCCAGTCTTTGCCTTCTAAAATGCTGCACACAACAGTGTTGTGTTTAAATATGTTGGAATTTGCTGGGTTTTGTTCACAGAATCCCAACAGTGAAAATGATGCCTGGCTTTTAAATTAAACCGATTAAATTTGAGATTATTGTGAGGCCATAAATAACTTCACTCACACAAGAGTAATTGAAGGGCTCTGTTTTCATACTTGGCTTCTTTTCAAGGGACCCAGGCTCCTGAGAACTCAGAATAGCTCAATAGCCCTCCTTACCCTGAAATGGCCCATTAAGAGATGCCTGTTGGGTGGTAACCTCCCCATACGTTTTCTCAATAAAGAGAAAAAGATGGGAAGGGGTGGGGGAGACTTTGCTTGCATCTAGAGTCGCAGCCTCTCAAAGCTGCAGCCTCTCAAAGCCGTCTGGAGCAGACTGTTTAGTTCTGTGTCCCCTGTCTCATTCAGGCCTCTGCATGTTTTGAAGCTTTCTTTAGTTTTTCCCTGAATCTTGACGGCAGTTCTCTCAATAGGCTAAGGCCCAGCTATGGTTAGCTGAATGCGTGATCAGCACAATGCACTGAATTTTAATGGTGCTGGCTGGCCCTGAAAGCTCGCCAAAGGGACAGTGGCCACTGTGCCGGCCCGAGCAGCTGTCTCAGATTCTGAGAGGGGATCCGACTGGCTTCCTAAAGTTGCCTATTTGCTTTTCTTGCAGATCTACACAGACTGGGCCAATCATTATCTAGCCAAATCTGGCCACAAGCGTCTCATCAAGGATCTCCAGCAAGATGTGACAGATGGCGTCCTCCTGGCCCAGATTATCCAGGTTGTGGGTAAGAGCAGATTTTACCTTGTGGGTAATGAGTTACAGTGGAGCCATCCCAAAAGGCTGGGGTGAGGGGAACAGAACACTGAAATCTCTCAGAAGGCAGCTTTCTGTCTCACGTCTTGACAATTTATTTGATTCGTGTTTTGACTCAGGTTGTGTGAGTACCAGCATTGATTTTATGCTTTTCCTGTTAAGGTCACATACACAGAAATATCATCTTGATTCTCTTAGAAGAAAGGCTGGCCAAGGCCAGAGGGAAATGCTGGTGGTTTGGGGAAGAGGTGTTCTGCCCCACTTCTTGCCTCCCATTATCTTTCTGGTTCTCTCATTTCCCCCTTTGTATGGTACTTTTGTGGATTACTCTGGAAATATTTCCCCAAAAAAAAGTAACATGGGGCTGGTTTAATCTTGCCAACTCTACTTGGGTCTGACAAATCAAAGGCTAAGACTCCAGAGAGGGTTAGATGGTCCTGGTTAATACTAGGGGACGGGAACTTGAGCAGTGGAATTTTTCATGCCTTGGTCATGTGCTGGGAGGAGAGAGTTCCTCCAGTGAAGGCATGTGGGTGGATACTGGCCACAGCTCTGCCTTGGGCTTTAAGGCAACCACCCCGTGGGCCTGCCTGAGAGCCCACAGCAGATTGAGGAGGCTTGGAGGTCAATTGGACAGCATTAGCCTGATTATTGTCGCTGGTAGCCTTGACTAAGGGAGAAGATGCAAGGAGAGGACAGGGCCCAGCCTCTCTGGCGTGTTGTTGTTGAAAAGTTGCTTACCCTTCAAGTGTGAGAAGTAGTCTTTCATAGTTGGAGCTCTGCTTAAATTGGTGGAATATGTACCTGAAAACACAGAAGGTTGGCCTTAGCTGAAACATTTGGACTACTGCTGCCATTCAAAGAGAAAGGAGTTTGTTTTCCCTGCTGTCTTATTATTTATTTCTTAAGACTACCCACCACTGATTCTCCTCTTCTCCTTTTTCCTCCTCTCTCTGTATTAGTTTTCTGTTGCTGTATAACAAATTATCGCAAACTTAGCCACTTAAAACAACACGTATTTATATCTCACAGCTTTTGTGCATCAGAACTCTGGGCATAACTTAGCTGGGTGCCTCTGCAAGGCTTCAGCCAAGCTGTTGCCCAGGGTTGCATTCTCATCTGGAGGCTTGACTGGGGAAGGGTTTGCTTCTATGTTCACTCAGTTTGTTGGCAGAACTAATTTTCTTGCAATTATAAGACTGTGGGTCCTGGCTTCTTGGTGGCTGTCAGCTGGAGGCCACCATCACCTCCTAGAAGCTGCTCTCAGCTCCTTGCCACATAGGCCTCCCAATATCTGCTTGCTTCCTCAATGCCAGCATGGGAGAAAGCTTCTGAAACAAGTCTGCTAACAAGGTAGAATCTTACCTAACCTAACATAATTGTGGGAATGGCATCTTATCAGCTTTGCCATAGTCTGTTGGTTAGAAGCAAGTCACAGGTCCCTACACTCAAAGGGGATGGGATGATACAAGGGCATGAATACCAAAGTGCAGGCATCATTGGGGGTCTCTGTAAAGTCTGTCTGCCACATTCCTTTTTCCATTTCTTCCTCTTCCTCCTACTCTTCATCATTATTGTCCAAAGCTCTTTAAAAATTTCTCTCATTTTCTCAAAACCCTTTTGAAGTAAGTGGTGTTCTCTCCATTTTACAGATGCAGAAATTGAGGCCCAGTGAGGCTTAGTAGTCCAAAGTCACCTGACTAGTTTCCGTGGGAATTCTAACCCAGCTAGTCTGCTTCTAATGCTTCTGTTCTTTGTTCTACTATATTATATCACTTTTTACTCCAGAGATGCTGAACTTAGTGCAGGGCTTTGTCCTCTTTCACTTTAGTAACCACTTATTGAGCACCAACATGTTCCAGCACTGTACTCCTTGCTAAGAATAAAGAACAAATGTGTGGAAGGCCAAGAACCTCAGAGGAAGGGGTGCCATTTTTTTTTGGTAGGGTCTTCATGGAAATACAACTTGCACCTGAACTGGGTTTTGAAGCCCACATCAGCAGAATCACATTATGCATGTGGGCCTACTTTGACTGAGTTTTGCAGCTGTGGAGAGTTTTTCTACCTGAAACCTTCCCAGGTTTTGGCACAGGCAGCAGGAGAGGGAGTATAAAAAGGATCATACTGAGAGGTCTTGCATTCATTCCAGCTCCATTCCTCCTGATTGTGGGATCAGCTCTGCTGCCTGTTTCTCCATCTTTAAAATGCAGATATCCATACTTGTCTTGTCTGATCTTATAGCCATCTTATGAAATTCAAGTTAGGTATCAAATATGACATATATTTGAAATCTATGACATGTTCCTGGATAGCACTTGGCAGCAGCTACCTAGAAAGGTATGTATAGAAGGATGATGAGGTCTCAATATCTGTGTCAGTATATTGTGATAGATTAGTCATGTCTGCCTTGGGCTCAGAAGAGGCAAATGGGAGTATGTATGTTGTGCATTTTCTAAACATAGTGCTATGAAAATGTAAGTTAGCAGTTTTATCGTTGTTCAGGAGGATGCTTCCCTGAATCTATTCAAATGAGATGAACTTCCCTAGATAGTGGCGTCTTTAGGCCTAGGGTACTGGTTTGCAGTTCCAGAGACCCAAGTTAGCACCACTTGTTCAGGCCACAACTGAGGCCACTAAATTGCTTCCCTAAACCCTCAAGCACAGGATCGCTCTGTCCAGAGACTCCTCAAGTAAGGCTGGATATCAGCATGTGACTCTCTCGCCAGACTGGTTGTGCTGGGGCTTGGAAACTCTGCTCTATATGTAGAGAACAGACTAAAAGGAGGATTGAGAAGACAGCAATCATAGGCATCTCCTGTGTGACTTCTTTCCTCAGTTGTCTATCAGCCAGCTCAGAGCATTTACTCTTAGATTGTCTTATGAACGCAGGTCTCTTGGTGAAAGAGGGGGAGAAGCATCTTCTAACTCGGATGTTGAACTACTGGCCATTTGAACACTTTGCCTTTCAAGTCCATGCTTTCCCCCATACATACCCATTAAAAGAAAATGTAAAAAGATATATTTGTATGTGTACACATATTTAATATACATATATGTATATGTAGAGAGAGAGATCCATATCTATGTATCTAAAAAAAATTTTCCCAGAATTGGAATCTTGGTGATTTTCATCTTATGCTGGACAGAATTCTAGTGGCTGCACTTGTTCTTTGACTGGCAAGCTCCTACTCATTCTTTCTTTCTTTTTTTTTTTTTTTTTTTGAGACAGAGTCTCGCTCAGCCGCCCAGGCTGGAATGCAGTGGCGTGATCTCGGCTCACTGCAAGCTCTGCCTCTTTGGTTCACACCGTTCTCCTGCCTCAGCCTCCCGAGTAGCTGGGACTACAGGTGCCCGCCACCATGCCCGGCTAATTTTTTTGTATTTTTAGTAGAGACGGGGTTTCACCATGTTAACCAGGATGGTCTCGATCTCCTGACATCATGATCCACCCGTCTCGGCCTCCCAGAGTGCTGGGATTGCAGGCGTGAGCCACCACGCCTGGCCTCCCCTTCTCAGCATTTAGTACTCCCCTAAACATTCCTCTGAATTCTATATCACACTGTTCTACTTTCTAGGGATCTGCCACAGCTCTCAACTGTCAGGTTTGGAAGGGGCCTTTAAAAGCCCCAATCTGATGAATGAATTGCTTCTGTAAAAAGTAGTCAACAACCTCTATTAATTACTTCCTGTGATGGGCAGCTTACTACTTTTTCAGGCACTAGTTCTAATGGTGGAGAGTTGGAATCCTTCAAAAGCTCTTGTCTGAGATTCAGGCTGCTATAACAAAATACTAGACTGAGTGGCATATAAACAAAAGACATTTATTTCTTATGATTCTGGAGGCTGGAAGTCAAAGGTCAAGGTGCTGGCAGATTCTGTGTCTTGGGAGGGCCCACTTCCTCATTCGCAGACAGCCATCTTTTCACATGGAAGGAAGGCATGATCAAGCTCTCTTGGGCCTGTTTTATAAGGGAACTAATCCTGTTCATGAGATCTTTACCCTCATGACCTAATTATTTCCCAAAGGCCCCATCTCCAAACACCATTACGTTAGGGATTAAACCTGAATAGAGAATTTTGGGAGGACACAAACATTCAGACCACAGCAGCTCTTCTTTTATTAAGTCCTCCCCTTGGTAGTGTCTCTTCCCTGTAGGGCTACAAAGAACAATCCAATCTGGGGACAGTGTGAGCATCAAAATCAATTGAGGACAACAGTGGATTATAGCCACTAAATAAAATAGGAATCCACACGCCTATAATAATAAATAGATACATTTAAAAATAGATCTATCAATGGAGGAGAAGAGAGGGCTGGACTCTACAGGAGAACGCTGACTGATAAAGGTAGAGGGAGTTGCAACCATCTGGTAGATGGGAGTTAAGGCAAGAATCATCAACAGATGCTGAAATCTAGAAGGGAAAATTTGAGGAGGAGCAGGATTTTTGCATAGTCTCGAAATATCTCTCTATTGATTGCTTATTAGCTGCAAGGGGAAACAAAGTAAGTACTAATTGGAGTATCCAGGTCACATCATGACTAGGTGATGAAAATTACATCACTGGTGAGAGACAGATGGACGTCATGTGCTTCCTGAGGTCATACCCTGAGAAGAACACAGCATCACTTATGTCGTATTCCAGTCAGGGATGGAAAACCTGAAACTAATCATGAGGAATCTCAGACAAACCCAAATTGTGGAACATTCTATTAAAAAAAAAAAAACTGGGCCATATTGTTCAAAAATGTGAATGCTGTGGAAGACAAAGGCTGAGAAACTGTTCCAGGATGAAGGAGACTAAAGAGATGTGACAACTAAAAGCACTATATAATCCTGAACTGCATCCTGTGCAGGGCAATAACATGGTCTAAAGGACATTTTTTAGTCAATTGGCAAAACTGGAATGTTGGAATTAAATCAATGTTAAATTGTCAGAATTTATAGCTGTACCATGGAAGACAATATCCTAGTTCTTTGGAAATAAACACTAAGCATAAGAAGCAAAGTGCATGATCCACGTGGCTTACTCTGAAATGACTCAGAAGAAAGATATGTGTGCCTTACAGATAAAGAGGGGGAGGGTAGGAGAGGGAGAAAGGAAAGGAGAATGGATGAGGTATATGAGAATTCTCTATACTATTCCTGTAACTTTTCTGTAAGTTTGAAGTTATATCAAAATGAAAAGTTAAAAAGAAAACATATCTAAATCAAGGCCCATCAAAATTTGCAGGCAGCAAGATTGTGCCTTTTAAGGGACAGCCCCTTTCTAGGCCCGGGAGGAGTGTAGTGATGATGGCATGGTTAAGGACCCACTCCATCATGGGTCGGGTGCTAAGACCCGATCTAGGACGGAGTGGGGATGGTGGGAAGGTGGCAATCACAGAAAGGTTCCTCAAGGAGCTTGCCTATAAGCCAAGACTTCAGACTTTATTAAGAGTGAGACAGGCAAAGCAGTCAGGGAGGGCATTCCCAGCAGAGAAAATAGTGTGTAGAGAGGAGAGCCAGAGGGCCAGCAAGGCAAAGTCGGGCAGGGCCACCAGGTATAAGGCAACAAATTCTGGGCTTTAGCCTAAGAACAAGGGCTGGTGGTTGAAGAGTTGATTTTTCAGGCTGGGAAGGGACATCCGATGCGTAACTTCAAGGAAAATCTTAAATGTTTTTTGTTTTGTTTTATTTTGAGACAGTCTCACTCTGTCACCCAGGCTGGAGTGCAGTGGTATGATCTCGGCTCACTGAGGCCTCCGCCTCCTGGGTTCAAGCAATTCTCCCACCTCAGCCTCCCAAGTAGTTGGGATTACAGGCATGCACCACCATGCCGGCTACTTTTTGTGTTTTTAGTAGAGATAGGGTTTTGCCATATTGGCTAGGCTGGTCTGGAACTCCTGGTCTCAAGTGATCTGCCTGCCTCGGCCTCCCAAAGTGCTGGGATTATAGGTGTGAGCCACAAGCCTGGCCTTAAATGCTTTTTACATGCCCTGTTCTTAAGTCTTCATCTATCCCAGACACCCTTGGAGCTGGGCCTCCTAGATAGTGGGATTGTTTGGGACTTTTCCGCCATCATCTTCCATAAGGCAGAAAGTGGGCCTTTTGCTACTGCTCTTTAGGAGCCTTCCTTTGGTGGCTAAGGTTGGATCTGTGTGTTCAGCCTCTTGTTAGTGTGATTATCTTCTTGAGTCATGAGCTTCCCCAAGTTGACAATTGCCTGCCAGCCCATCACAGTGGCATCTCTGTGAATTATTAAGAAGGTTTATGAGGCCAGGATAAACAGCATGAATCAAGAGAGAGACAGGCCTCCCTCCTTTGCTTACGTTGCTGTCACTCAGGGAGGATGCCAGAAGAGTTTGGAGCAAGGGAAGCAGGGAGTGAGAAAGAAGGGGTAGGAGAAAAATGGATAAGAGTTGAGAGAGGAAGGAAAAGATGAACAAAGGAGGATTGGAGAAAAGGGGAGCAAAGGGAGAGAGAGAATTTCTTCTTAGAAGTGGGAAGACCTGATAGCAGCTTCTTTTCCACCACCATTTGGGCTGCCTCTGCATACAACCAGGAAATTCAGACAACATGTAGGACTATCCCTTCTTTCTGTTGATATTCTACTACCATTATGTGACCCTGGGTAAGTCATTTGCCTTTCTGGGGAGCCAGTTTTTGTCTCTTCCCATTGGCAGGATTGTTAACTGCCAGGGATGGTAAGTGCATTGATGCACAAGCTATACTGAAATGCTCTGAATCCTTTAATGAAGTCTTTTGAAAAGTAATAAGCTTGATGCCACTGTTCTTATTTTAAAAGTGCACTGATGCTTTCCAGTCACTAACTTGTCACCTTGCATGCAGGCGGGTTACTGCATTAGTGGGGCAAAGAAAGTCTTGAATACGCTGGGATAAATAAATTACTATTGGCACTTAAAGATGCCAGTTTTAATCACAGATGAGGACTTTGGGGATAAGTGCCTTTGTTTCTTTGATTATCTGCTTTTGGGATGCTGCCAAGGACCCCTTGCCCTGAGTTAATAAATTCAGCTTCGAAGACCAAGCTCTTCCTTCTTACCAGCAGAATCAGAGCTGCTATTAGCACTCTAATTATTTATGACAACCATAGGAATTCCTGGGAATTTAAGTAAAGGAGAAGTGTTTCAAGTATATGAAACTGGAAACTAGGAGGCCCAAAACTCGTTTTGTAGTTTTATTAATTATTTATTTTGAGATTGGATTAGTCATTTGATTCATCTCTTCCCATATACTCTTTACAGTGGTTGTAATTAGGCTCTACCCCATCAGTTTATTTTGACTTTTGTAAAATGGAAGTATTATGCTTGTAAGAGCCATGATATTTAAATTCAAAGAGCACCTGACTGGGTTTAGGTGATAGACCATGAAAAGGAATTAGAAGAGAAATTAGACCAAGCCCTTTGGTTTCATTATTCAGGTGGCATATAAAGAATCTTTAAAATGTCCCAAATGACTTCTTAGGATCACAATTATCCATTCTTTACTGTAATGAGCACTAATGGCCTAATGCTGAAGTAAGTATTGATCAGAATCCAATGACTTATGACTTTGGCCATCACGAGTATCCAGTTGGAAGACACCTTGATTGGCCTTGATTCTCAAAAGCCACATATTTATTCTTTCCAGTGCTGAGTGTCAAAATCCAAGGTCAGAGCTCATGCCTGCCATAATTTCCCATGTATGAAAGAGTGCCATTTGTCAAGTGTTTGGTTTTTTTGGTCTTTAGTATGTACATCTGTATTACAAGTGGAAGGATAGCTGCCTGAAAATAGGCAGCTATTCTTGATTCATCTCAATGCTCAAGAATCAAGATTTCTTGATTCATTGAGATATTCAAAGACTTATTTCTTAGTTCCATTCAACAAGTATTTATTGTGTGGCTCCTGTGTGCCAGACACTGTGCTAAGCTCTGAGGTGATGGTAGGAAACGAAGCACATAAGAATCTCTGTTCTTATGAAGTTTACATGCTAGTGATATATTCTGGCTCATTATATCTTCTAATAAACAGAAGAACAAACACCCATAAGTGATTCCATTCAGTGGTCGCCTTGTTTGTGGTTTTCATGGCACCTCTTTTGGGAGCAAGGCTTTCTACAATGCCTATCCTAGTGTTCTTATATTAAGAGGAGTTGAGAAAATGCAATTAGATCTCTGAAGATTGGGATTTTCCCAGGTGGGTCATAAACCTTAACATCTATTACTTCTGGCAAGTTCTAAAAAAAGGTGTAGATTAGACTGAATATACACTAGCCAGTCTGTTTTATGGTGATCAGATTTTTAAACAATTTTCTGCCACTCGCTTGCTTCTTAATTTTCACTTTTCTCTCAAGATAGAAATAGTAGAGAAAAAATAAATTCAATTTGAGATAATGGTTCAGATTTCTAAAATCTTGGAGGCTTGGGACACTGTTATTCTATTATCTTTTTTAGACAGTTTCCAGTGGCTTTTCTCTTCATGGAAGTTTTAGGTATCATATTTATTAAAATATGACATGATTTTATTTGGGGAATTCAATTTTGTGAGCAGTTATTAAGCTCTAAGGATACAGATGTGAAACATAAACTATACACGTCTGCCAGGGTCTCACAGCATAGTTGGGGGAAACAAGAAAAGGAGGAGTTATGTACTGGATGATTAAGAACAAAACAGAGACAGGTACAGGGTGCTGTGAGAACAGAGGCCTGAGTATAATACATATTACTGGGTTAATGATTCTACCATTTAGAAAATACTTACTACGTGTTGGGCACCATGCTGAGCATTTTACTGACATCATCTAATTCTCATTGCTTCTCTGGTGAAGCAGGTAGTAGTAACTGTGTTTTACAGATGAGGCAACTGTGACCCAAAGAGGTTGAGTGACATGCCTGATGTCACACGCTAAAAAACTCTGCAGCTGGAATTCACGCTAACATATCTTTGCCTCCAAAGCCAGTGCTCTAACCACTATGCTTACTGACCTTCTTGTGCTGCTGTATTCTCAAACACAGTCTCTCCATAGATATCTTGGACTGTGTCGTGCCAGGGACTCCTCCATACTTATGATGAACTGCATTCACCCTGGGAAGCTGGGCCAATCCTCCTTTGTATTAGTACTTGATTTCCTGTGAATGCCATGCAGCCTTTTTTTATCACTTCTCTGAGTAGCTGGGTGATACGACTTCACACATGTGTGTCCCTTGATGTAATTTGGACTTACTGTGTGGCATTAGTCAAGTCACATAGTGAGAAAGTGATAAAGTCTCACTTTCTCATTTTCCCCATTTGCCACTGCTGTGGGAATAGTTATTAGGACAAACAAAAGCAATATTAGTCTGGCCAAAGATGGAGTGAGATGCTTTCATTTGTGGCTTTTGTCCCTGGGAGCTGAGTTGTAGCTGGACTGATCCACTCTGAACTATTCTGTCTTTTGTGACAGTTGTGTTTGCCTTTCCAAGAGCCTAAAGTACAATCACAGCTCACTCTCTTTCCCAGTCTCCAAGCATTTCCACGATGCTCCATCACTCCAAGATTGTCATCGATGCAGTTGTCTCTGTTTTAGATGACGACCTTGCCCCAGCTGTCCCTGGAGGACGGCAGCTCGATGAGTAAGTCCTGAAGCTTGCTAGATGTGTCTCAGTATTTCACATGCCTGCACTGATTGGACAAACCCTGGTATGGGCCTTAGGACTTGGTTGCCTCAAGTGTCCTGAACATCACTACTGAAAGTGTCTCTCTGGTGATTTATTTTTCTGACTTGTGTTTCCTTTTTCAGCAAATGAAAAGATTGAAGACATCAATGGCTGTCCGAAGAACAGATCCCAAATGGTAAGTGGTGCATAGGTAGCAAATGTTTGAGTTCTGTCAGTAAGCCCTGCCTCTAAATGATATTGGCCATCTTGAAAACATTCAAACCAGATGCTTTACTCCAGGGGATTATATTAATAAACTCACAGCTATTTCCAAATAGCCGTGTTCTGCTTTTCTGACATTTGTTGGCATTTATTGAAAAATGGCTGTGATTTTTATGTAGATTGTGAGACAGTTAAAGTGAAATATTGTCCTTGCTCTTAGACACAAATTATGCAGAACTGGTACAAACATATACATGTTTAGTACTTGAAATGTTATGACTCGTTCTGCTTCCTCAAAGACCCACATCAATATGTGTTTGTGTGTGGAGCTGAGGCATGGATGAGGTGATGGTATCTTACTAATCAGAAACTGGAGCATGTGGTCAGATTGCCTTTAAAGGTTAGAATGATGTGAAATCAGAACTGTGACAGGAAATGTGAAATGTGCAGTCACATCTGAAGCTTTTCAACATAACCTTTGCAAGTGATATTCTCTCTGGCATGATGCATTTAAGCTCTGATATTATAGCTTTATACATAACCCCCAAAACTAATCTTTTAAAAATCTGTTCTTTTTCTTATTGCATGTCCTGCACATAATCTTTGAATTAAAATTTATGGTTATTGTTGAGTTCAGAAAACATCAACTTAGTTTTTCACTTCAAAACACATTTCAAGCATGAATATTTACAAAAAAAATGTATGTTTTCAGTGTCTGTTAAGATAACACTAATAACCTATTTAAAACATGAAGGTGGCAACTTAAGGACAACTATTTTTTGCTGGACATTCGCTTCCAGAAATCTAAAAAAAAAAAAAAAGGCATAATTTGCTTCTCTAACCCCATCCTACCTCCTTTGAGTAGGCACAGTTTGATAGGTCTCATATCAGAATAAACCAAAATGATTGGCATTCCTTGGGTTTACTGTTTAGTTTTCTGAATTGTTATCCCAATGACTTGGGCAAATAGGCAGCCTTTTCAGCTGGCTTTGTTTTTTGTGCACAAAAACATTTTTTTAATAAAGATGTCAGTGTATGTATGGAAGGGGAGTCATTTTCCAGTTTATATTCTGAAAAAGTTTTTGTTGTTGTTGTTCCACTGAAGGTTTTCTTTCTTTTTGATCCAAAGACCAACCACTCCTTACATAGGAAAGTCCCCAGGCTGACATCTCATGGCTACTTTGACTTTTGGAAAAACTGGGCTGCTATTTTTGCTGCAGCTACTGCAGCTGTCTAGGGTATTAATAATTGAGAAAATTTGGATGATAGAAGACTTAATTTTAGTGCAGGCATGCTACACATGTAGTCCTATCTTCATATGAAACAGATGCATTATTTCCCTCCAGGATAGGTACTGATGCAATTGCCCCAGCCCATTATAATGTGCATGTAGAACGGGTGTGTGGAAATCGTCAACCTTTTATTCTATTTGGTGCACCTGTATTCTAAGCACCTTCTTTTTTTTTTTTTTTTTGAGACGGAGTCTCGCTCTGTCGCCCAGGCTGGAGTGCAGTGGCGCGATCTCGGCTCACTGCAAGCTCCGCCTCCTGGGTTTACGCCATTCTCCTGCCTCAGCCTCCTGAGTAGCTGGGACTACAGGCGCCCGCCACCGCGCCCGGCTAATTTTTTGTATTTTTAGTAGAGACGGGGTTTCACCGTGGTCTCGATCTCCTGACCTTGTGATCCGCCCGCCTCGGCCTCCCAAAGTGCTGGGTCTAAGCACCTTCTGTTGGAGGTTTTGCTTGTTGTTAGAGTCTACTTCCAAGCTTATACAGAGTAGCCCTAATCTGAAATATTTGGGACCAGAAATGTTTTGGATTTTGGAATATTTGCATTGTATTTACAGCATCCCAAATCCGAAAATCCAAAGTGTTTCACTGAGCACTTTCCTTGAGCCTCATGTCATGCTCAAAAAGCTTCGGGTTTTGGAGTATTTCAGATTTTAGAGTTTTAGATTTGAGATGCTCAACATGTAATATTGTCACTTCAGATTCCTCTTTGCAAATTTATATGCAAATAAGTTACTTATAAATACTACCATAGCACCAATGCAGTGTTGCAGTTTCTCCATAACTCTTTCAGCCATGCCAGTGCTATATTGTTTTGTTTTTGTTTTTGTGTGTGTGAACTGTGTGTGTGTGTGTTTTTTTTTTTTTTAGAATACAAGAATATAAAATCCTATAATTGTCTGTGATAATTAGTTCCAGCTTAGGGGTGGGGAGGCAGACACAGTCTTGTGGTAAGCCTAGCAGAGAATAGTTCAGCGTACAGGATGTGAGTCCAGGAAAATGTAAGAACCTCTGCCACAGTTATTCTATTCTGTAGGAAATAAGTAGGATGATGGTAAGGACAATAGGATCATTGTTCTTGCCCCTACATCATGAAACAATGACAAGTTCATAAAGCAGAACTCACTAGCTCACACAGGAAGTTCTTTTGATAGACAGGCATGGGTGATTTTCTGGCTAATAGGACACCTGTGTGCACACAAGCATATTTTGCTCAAGTATAATTTGAGAATATGGTATAGGGTGTGAGCCACCATTTCTAGATTCCTAGGTGGTTAACCTTCTAATTAGACTTTATATGGGTGGCCAATAATAAACATTGGTTGTTTGCTAAATATTGCCTGTTTGGAGGATACCAAAGGAGGAGATATGTGGAAAGCATGGCAGAAGGAAGATGACACACAATGAGATGAGAACTTGGGAAGTGTATCCTGTTAGGAGGGTAACGGGCTCTGCCAGAAAAAAAGAAAGTCAGCATAGAGTTAATGTGGTCACTCCCTAAGAAAACAGATAGAGCACCTTTAGGGTCCTTTAATAATGGAGACAAAAGCAGTTTTTTTTTTTCAGAGCAGGAATGGAGTGGGTGCTATTTCAGTTTTCAGTGGGTCAGTTCGTATCCTCAGCTAAAGGGTAGGTTAGGAGCATGAGCTTTGTAGGAGGAGCAAGCCCTGGAAGAGGGCACCTTTTTCTCCCTCCCTTCACTCTTCCTAACCCACTAGGCTGTCCAGCTGCTCTGTTCTCTGCCCTAACTCCTGCGGTCTTCCCAGAGGATAGGGAAGTGAAAGCAGACATTTGTGGAATATGGCTTAGAGGATTCCAGGGGCAGCAGTGCGTAATCATAATGGGCTTGGCATTGTGTACTTTTAGACTGTCAATCTGCAAGCAGTCACAGAGTGCCTGCTAATGCCAGGTGCTGGGCTAGGCCAAGCTGAATACACAGGTGACCAAGATGTGATCCCTGCCCTCAAAGAACTCAGATGAGTGGGCAAGAGACCAGAGAACAATTAGAACAATAGACTACTGCAGCTGTGCCCACAGACATCTGTGCATGGCACAGTGGGGACCTATTCTACCCCCAGGACAAGGAAGGTTCCAACATAGCTTCTAAAGGGTTAGTCTTGAAAGGTCAGAGAGTTCACCACAAGAGACGATGGGTGGAAGAGGATTTCAAGCGGAGACAGCCAGGCATGGAACCCGTTTCTGGAGAATGGGTTTACCTGAGGATATCATGGATCCCACAGAGGAAGGTTTTACAAACAATCATTCATTGATGGTACCAAATTGCCACAAACTGTGTCTGGTGAGGCTCTTCTAGCCCCTCGGCAACATCAACTCCTCGTCCTGCTGTGCCTAGGGTGAAAGGAGGGGCATGGAAGAGCCCAGAGTACAACAGACTCATAGGCACAGAGGTCTTTTCAGACCTGGGATAAGCCTTCTGTATGCTTTATCACACAGATTCCTACATCTGGGGGAGAAACCTCAGAACAGAGTTTTCTAAAGCAAAAAATTCAAGGTCATCAATTCCTGTGGACAGAAGTTCAGCCATGAAATTTGGGAAACGGAAACACAACCCAGTTGGAAGCAGCTGTTAATATTTTTATAGCAGCACTAATGTGCATCTACACAGTTCTTTAAGGCTTATGAGCCCATGACACATTCAGTCCTCCTGACTGCTGTGGGCTGGTGTAACACTCACACCTTTTGGGTGAGAAACTGAGATGCTGTTTCCGGGACGCAAGCCTGATGCTTTTCCATCAGCATTTGTAACCCTCAGTGCCGCCCTCCTCTTGGCCTTCATCAAATGGCACCAGGACTGTAACCTAAAGGCAGAGAGGCACAGCAGTGGCTTCCCTTTCCTGGAGCAAGCCCAGCCTTGGCTTGTTTTTAAGGAGCCCTTTGCCCTGTTTCAGTCTGACCCAGATGCTTTTGGGGCCAAATTCTTGGAGATGGAGCTTTAGAAACAACACTCCCACCCCCATTCCCTCTCCCCCACCAAATTCATCCCCTTGGCCCTTAAGTAAGTGTGTGTGTGTGCGTCAGAGCTGGTTAAAATGTTTTGTCTATTTAACATTGCCATGGCAACCAAGGGGCATCTCTTTGGCTTTCAAGTGGTGTGTTCAGCAGAGTTATGTGTTAGTGTGGAAGGAAAAACATTGCTTGGAGGTTAGCCAGCGGGTGCTGGGGCGGACCTGCTTCCCAATTTGAACTCACTATACTCAAGACATTGGGGGCATTGGCTCACTTTGGAGCCTGGGAATAACCAGTGGCAGGGGGTGGTTTTCTTTTTTCGTCATAATTATTTTAAGCAGCTTGCCTTTCTGTTGTTGATGAGGAGAAGTGCAAAGTTAGGGAGGCTTGCTTGCCTTTTCAGCAAAAAAGCCCCAGGCCTGCTTTCCCCTTTAGCTGATCTTGGGCCTGGGGTCACCTGAGCCTCTGGGCTCTTCAAGGAGTCCTCCTGCCTTCTTCCCTCAGTGCATCTAGACTGAGGGCCAGCCTGAACTTGGGGACCAGCCAGGCCAGGTTTCCAATTCCTTTTCTGCTATTCTGCAGCCTTGAGCTAATTACTTAATTCTTTGAAGCCTCATATTTCCTTTTGTATGAAGTGGGGTTGATAATAATACATACCTCATAAAGTTTTCATGAAGACTAATGAGGCAATGAAAATGATAATAATGGATAATAATAA